TTCAAGGTATCTTTGATCTCATACCTCACATTCTCTACAAAAAATTCAACGGAATAAATTACGATTCTTTTTCGTATACAATAATTACAAATCCTGACGGAAACTTGTAAAAATACCATTTTCATCTGTTATTCAAGGTCCATATTTATTTTATTTATTGCGCATAGTTTTGTAGTTTCTTTGAATACTTTCACTAAGAAATATTTTTTTAAATCAATTTGACTCTTTTGATGTTTCAATGTCTTTTGTGATTGTATTGTGATTGTATTTTAAGGATTAAATACTTCGAAATAGAAATGAAAATGATTGTAAAAGAAATTGAATGATGAATCGATTATTATTTCTCCTTTTTAATGTATATAATCTTCAGGAAGACAAATCATTGTAGAAAAGTAACCAGAAGTTCAAGCAGAATGAGTGCGTTTCTTCTATCAACAACTCCAAAAGTAATAACGACGCCATCTTTTAATGACCGCAACTCTAAATTATTTCATTTTTATCTGGTTAATATAAATGAATGTAACCTAGCCAAAAAACACGAAATGTTACGAGGCACAAGTGTCCGATTGGCAGTCTTCCCAAGTTCTTCAGACTGTCGACTATTTATGTATTTTTAAGTATTCACTACATACAATATTTATTTGTTCATTTCGTAATTTTCCATCTACTAATGGAACGTGTTGTTTGATTGAGACCGATGGGAATGTCTCTGTGATGAATTCATCTCGTCCAAGATTTATGCTTTCTACTTGGTTCGTGTAAGCGACAAATGTTGAATGGACATTATGGGAGATCAAATTTGATTGTGAAAAGATGAAGATATCTGTCGACATAAGATGAATTAATCGTTCACTCAGATGCATGTACTCGTAAATTGTTTTCTATATTCTCTGGTATTTTTAGTATTGCAAATTAAAGGTACCATTGAACTACGGTCCCTACAGCAGATCCCAAATCATTTATTTGACAAAACTGACCCATGGTTTCTTTGGAAAAGTTGACGTCGGTCTCTCGTATCAAAATCTGATTATTCAAAAATTCGTGAACAGAATGATATATTGATTCGAAATTTTTTACACTTACCTATAGTCTTATGTACATTAGATCGCATGAGATTTTGGAGAAAAATAGAAATGATATTGTTTGGATACTTTTCATTTTGTTCATATACTTCGAGTGTGAAAAAGTTCGCATGACTTTCTTGTTCCTTTCAGAAAAGTACACCAAAATCGCCACATTTTTTTCTGTAATTTCAACAGCAGAGTGATAATCTGATTTTATTCATAAATCCTAAACTACTTTCATAAATTAAATTATCAAAAAAATTCAACCTCATAGAGTTCTACAAAAAAATTTCGAATCTTTTTATCTTGTTATAACTAAAACAGTTTGGGAATTATTTGAAAAATTGGAGAAATAACTCTATTGCACTTTTTTTAGATTTAGTCACAGGTAGAAAAGTAGTTGAAAACTACAAATATTGTAAAAGAGAATATTTCTCATTTCTATTGAAGACACAAGCAAAACACTTCGTTACATTTTCTCGATAATTGCTGAAACTAAAAAGTGAAATTGATGAAAATAAATAATTAAATTATGATCAGTAATTTGTACCAAGTTGATGGTGTCACAGGATTCGTACTCCAATTGATTTATTCCTTTATATCCAACAAAAAAATGATTATGACTCTGAATAACACTGCATCACACACTCACTATATTTTGTTTGGTGTACCACAAGGGTTAATATTAGGACCGCTGCTATTTTCCATTTATATAAACGATATATCAAACATGGTTACACCATTATATTCGCCTATTATCACATGGCTCAAAATATACTAATGTGTGATTGGTGCAAGACGAGTGTTTATTCTACAAGGAAAAAATCAGGATCATATTTGGCATTGCACCGAGAGATAGCTGTAGGGCCTTATTTTCAAAACATAAAATGATAACTTTACCCTGCATCTATATTTATAAAGATCAGCTTCATGTGAGACTTCTTGTCAGTCTTAATCACGAGTCAGTCACTCATAATTATGCAACACGACCTAAACACTTAACCATCCCAAAACACAAAACGTCGACATTCAAAGAAACTCTTAGGTATAACGCCATTACATTTTTTGATTCATTGCCACAGGCAATGAATCAAATACATCTTCAGGAAATCAATGAGTTTGTTCAGAAATACCTATTTTAAAACATCTTCAGGAAATCAATGAGTTTGTTCAGAAATACCTATTTTACATTGATGTTTTGTGATTAAATATTATTGAATATCAAGTTTTCATTACAATACTGTATAATTTTGAGTAATTTTCGGTGATAACAAAACATAAAAATGACTTTGCACCAAAAACTTACTTTTCAAGAAAATTGACCGTGGTTATCACGACAGTTGTGTAATTTGTAATATTACAGGCTTTTAAAATAACCCGTCGTAAACAGCATGTTGTCTATTTATTGTTTTAGCAAAAATTTGTTTTTCGTAGTCCCCATTAAAAAAATGGGTAAAAAAATTAAACTTCACTTAGATGGTCATTAATTCAAATCTAGATGTATTTTTCAATGATGAACAACTTTTCTGAATAACATTTCCCGAATTTTTCAAAATAAGAGTACTTTACTCTTGTCACAAAATGAAATATTTGAAGGCTCCTCGTATATTATCTGTGTTGTACTGTATTTTGCTGTTGCATGTTCAGTTTTAAGGGATGCATTAACTTTTATCAAGAATAACTTTTTGTCGAAAAATCCTTAATAAATAAGTTTCCCAAATGGTGCATCCTTTGGGGATGACACTGTAGCATGGATGAGTTCCGGCAAAGGAATGTCTTGATATAACTTGTTTTCATTCAATTTTTTTTTCTAATTTTCTGTTGAACTATTTAATTATATTCTGTTGTTATTAATAATGTATCTACTATCTTAGAATGTGCATCTGTTTTTATATATCCAAAAAACGTAGATTTGGTGACCTACATGTTGACATCCAAATGAAGAATATCGCTTTTATTGTTTTAAATTGTGTTTGTATGATTTGATAGGTATATATTTATTGATATTTATATATTCATTCAATTGTTTTTATATGTATTTGACATGTGTAATATTATTGTGATCTGAAAGATGAATAAATACTACTACTACTAAAACCCATTTTGTTGTTCCTTTTTGAAATAGAAACTCTTCATTACAGTTTTCACCCTAAGATTTTGTGTTAAAAAGAATGATATTATCCAAAAATTCCCTAGAATTGAATTAGAATATCTCTTCGATGGACGACTGATTGGAAAATTCGGTCCCAAGAAAACAAATGAAATATTTCTATTATATATAGTTCAGGAGATGTATGTATGTATTTTCTTATAAAAAGTTCGGGAATTATTAAAGAAACACTATAAAATCGAGATCAGGACAGAATATTTTTTCAACTTGAAATTGTGGTCGTAGAATTATTATGCAATTTCACTTCAAGAAATCATACTAGATTGAATTCATTGATATTACTATATCTTCCATGTTCGGTCGTATCAAATTTTATGTACCCCCTGTATCTTAACAAAGGATGCTACGATGAAATTTCTTTATATGAAAGATCCTATCTTTTTTTCGATGAGGAATCACTTCCTTGGATGTTTTACACTTATTTAGTTACATCCTGTATAATTTACAATATTCTTGACTGATCAACTTTTTAACGTAGTATTCACACTTGAAAAATCACCTGTTTTTATACTGTCAAGTTGTTCAACTTTTATGTAATGGCTGGTGTTATATACAGTGTCATCCCCAAAGTATGCACCATATTAAACTCATTGATTTTCTGGAATAATCCCCAGAAATTTTATTGAAATGTATTTGGCTTCATAATTTATGAACAGATCAGGTTTGTACTTGGAGTTTACCGTGTTAGGAATCACACGTTAAAAGGTAAGACCTCGTTAGTCCTTAGCTCGCACAAGTTTCTCAATTTCTGAGAGTTGTCGTTCGTATGAGGCGACAGCTGATTACCAGAAAAACAGATTCTAAACAGATTTTTTTTTAAACAGTTTGGAGTTCTAGATAATTTCTGAGCAACGGAACGAAGTACGAAAAAATAATATACCACTAAACACATTTTCATGTAAAATATTGCTTACACTATATATAAGCTGTCAGATCTCATGAGATATGAGATTTCTTTCTGAAAATCAATCATTTGTTCATATACGATTTTTGAAGAACCTTTTAATATTTAACAATAGTCTTGATTAACATGTAGATAATCGAAATCCAATATTATGAAAAACACATTTGAATATCTGACAATAATTTCAAAAAGGTGAAGAATTTTAAATATATTTAATCTGAAAGGTTATGCTTGTGACGAACATTTTCCTGAAAATCACTCGCATATGAAGGGTGCGCCGGTATCGATAACGAGTAACCACAGCTAAAGTGGGTGTTTATTGTGTTCGAGAATCATGTGTCCAGAGAAGAAGTAGGACACGAGAAAAAAAGCAACCTCTGAACTTATTCGGCCATGATTCCTGAACGAAACGTTCCTGCCGGTCAAATATAAATTACTGAACTTTCAAATAATGGGATGGGACCTTTTATCGGATATACTTGACAAAAATGTGTTTTTCATTCAATCAGTAATCGAAAATTCCTTCATTTTGTTTGACATTATTAATTATTAACCACAAAATAACATATTCTATATTATACCAGGACAGTACTGAAAAACAAATTCACAATGGAATTTTAGAACAGAAAGAAAAAATTCGAAAGAAATGAATTTTATTTAGATATTTACGAACACAATGAGAAAAACGAATAAAAACTACCAATTGGTGTCCGAAAATCATTGATTGAAAAAAACACTCAAAACAGGAAATAAATATATTAAAAAAAAGCTTTCTAACATATTATATGCATTACCACTGCAAAACAAATGAATCTATACTACATCATCAATCTTTTGTTACTGGTTAATTTCAGATCTTTACCCAAAATGGCTCTCCAGGTTTTGGACCCGAAGTTGTACCGTGTTCGCTCTGAAAATTCTCTTTCGATGACACTTTTTTTAATTCTTCAGCCGCATGAGTTAAAACAGCTGTAGTATTTTCACTATTGAAGGAATTTCGCACTTTGGCAATTGCGTTTTCTATAAAAAAGAATATGGTATCAATAGTAGATGAGTATAAAACAGAAAATAGAAATAATCACTCTATATTTAAAGACAAATAATCAGATGTCCCAAAGTGGAGGGGCAGTAGTAATAAAATAATGATTTCTTTTGCTATCTCTATTTTGCTTTCATTAAATTTATCAAAAAATATTTTTTTGCCTCCGACTCTACCGAATCTACTTTCCATGGACATGGATCCGATATGTGGCTGATATATTTGTGATATTTGACAAAAAGAAGTTTCGACTGTTAACACATACAATTATCTATGAAATAAAAAACAATGAGTGGCTCTCATTTTTCAATTCTTAGTTATAAGAAATGCCCACTGCGATCTAAGATTTGATGCATATAAGAAGATTACCAGCACTCTCAGGTATATGACTAGCAGCTCTTATCATTGTCTACAACAAAAATGGGTATAACAGGTTTGTCTTTAGCAAAATAAGATACGATATTGATATGATCATCGGTAACCTTCAAATATAGTCGATAAGTTGATTAGGGCGATTTTGGATGAGTCAAAGTGTATTGTTTTTTCATATGAACCAAGATACAATAAGGACCCTTTCACACGGGAAACTTCACGCTTCCTATACGGGAGCGTTTATCACTCCTTCCTACCGTCCATTCACACCGGGAGCCTTTAATTCCCGGATTCTCCTTGAGTCATTCGTAAAATGGATCACACGCGAGCCTTCTCTACCGTCTACACAAACCTCGACAACAGAAACGTCAACGATCAAGAATGGGAAGGACAAGTTGCGAAATTTACGTTGAGCACCTTGCAGACCATCCAACTTTTTACGACTTCATTTCGGTCCTTATAAATGTCGAGACATTTATCCCAAAGAGCGGATCGGTTGCAGACAGCACTAATTAACAGCTCCATATCGTAATCTGACATGTTAGAAAGTATTAAGCGTCAACTAGGAATAGCCGTTTTCACTCCTCGTGTAGAAGCCTCCACTCATCCTTTTGCATTTTGAGGAGGAGACGTGGCTCCCCGGCTCGATGTGCAGGAGATGTGGCCACGTCTCCCGAGACGTGGCGGCTCCCGCTCTTCCTCTGAAAGCTCCATTGGACTCGTTACATTTTGGCGCTAAGAGCCTATCTTTCTCTCAGGAGCGAGGGACGTGAAGCTCCCCGTGTGAAAGAGCACTAATACTTGATTTAACCGCTATCACCTAGTCAATTAAATAATCGCTCCCAGAAAAACACAAATTGTGGTAACTACCTTCAAAGCTTGCCTCGACAGTGTGTTGATATCACACAGTGACAGCCATAGTAGTGGATGACAACTTCCCATACGCTAGGTAATTCACTTTGTTTAGAGCTATGTAAAAAAATCGAGATAACAATTCTTTTATCTCCCATCTAGGCTCACAGCGCTATTCTAGGTAAGCTGTCAGGTTCTAATGTGCACCGGTACGTTATTTATAATTAGACTTGAATATAAAAATTACTTTTGAAACATCATGTTCAGCACAGCAAGATTTAGGTAACCTAAGACATGATGATAGAAGCTGAATTATAAAATTAACTGCGGGGACTGTGATAAAAAGCTTTTTGGTCAGACTAGGTGAGATATTAAAATCCGTTTCGCAGGATACGCGGTGAATATCCGTAGACCGGAAAAGTCTGGTGTCGCTCAATACACTTGGACAATGACCATAAAATAAATGACAATGGCTGAAGGGACACGCGTTTGGAAGTAGAAAAAGTGATTGTGTTGGATTCATTCTGTGCCAGAAGTTCCAGTTCCACTTTTCACTCTGATGTTCACTATTTTTTAATTTTGGTTAACAAGCATGAAACCTACGTTCAAGAGAAAGCATGTATTTTCTGTTTTGATACCGTTTCACGATGACGCCCGAAAAATGTCGAGAATGGATTCTGTGAAAATAACATTCCTTTGGTAGTCCTTTGTTTGGAGAAAATATTTCTTCTGGAAATAATGTCAACAACTAACAAACATCATGACTGTTGAAATTTAAAGACTGTTATTGCATTTAGGCATGATTTTGACGTATCTAACTGACTATGCGACTAGGTTTGGGTATATATACGTTTCAGTTACCATTTTATACTTTAGTTACTATCGAGATAGTGATGATCTGTCAGTTGAATACTCAACTGATTCCCTCCACTTTGAGATCATGACAATTCTTACTTGTATACATACATCAACCATGATATATAACTTTATACACATAAAAAATGGCATACACATAAAAATTGCAACACTGAAAAAACGTTAAGAACCTGATGTTTTGAATTCGGTGATCTCATAAGTTTTGAAGAATTTGACAGGTTCAAGGAGTTACTCCAGAAATCAAAAGTCAAACGTAAACCCGTACCAGGAATAGCAATTAGAAGCAAAACGAGGTCAAGAAAAATATGAGTACAGGGGCAAACGAAGTGGATGAAACTAAATAGAAAACATCTAGTAGAATAAATAAATACATTTAGGTTCATCCCGAAGTAATCTCGCTAATGAGTGTAAAGTGTTTTTCATTCTGATCACAAAAATTCCGCGTACAAGTGAAAATTCAAAAGTCTTCAACAATAATGATGGTCAGCTAGTTCCAAAGAGAAATGTCTAGCTTTGGAGTATGAAACAAAATGTTAAAGAGGTTTAGAACTGATATAGATCAACGTATTAACATTGTTTACCCTGAAACACTCATCAATTCAACGTAACTCTTTGTTAGCCGACCTTGAAATAAAATATATTTCTTGGTTTGAACTACATGACTCTATATCACTGAACTCTACTGAAATTGCTGTTCTCAAAATGTGATTAAAGCTTGGAGAAGTAACATGCATTACTGCTTCTTCCGTGCTTTCACACGGAATGGAATGGTTATATGAAATATTGAATTATATGTCAACAATGAGTAAACCAGGACTATTGTAAAGAAGATATTTTTTGGAATAAATTGAAACCTAGGAATCAAAGAGGCATTTTCACATCAAGACGGAATATTATTTTGCGGAATATCACCAAATTTGATTCTCAAGAAAAGACTTGAGAAGGGTCACCTCACAACAGATTTTCAATCTAAGAAAATCTAGAATTTGGAAAAACACTTCCATCAACGTTACCAAACATGACTCAGAGAAAAATTCATATTGGGAAAATCCAAATGAAAGAGCCTAGATGTGAGTAACTGTGAGGAACTAATTGATCATTCCAGAAGCAATCGTCAAAAATAAGCTGAGATGATGAAATCAGAGAGCACGTGAACTATAGCATGATATCGGAAAAGTTTTTTTGGATGAACTGATGTGCAAGTGATTAGGCACGTTGAATATAAAAAAGCTGGATTCCCAAGTGAACTATGTTCTATAAATCTTCCAGTGTTTGATGAATTTCTAGTAGTTTTAGAGATTTAAAAGATTTTGGATAAAAACAGTTCGGACGTTCTGCCAGTTTTGAAATTCTTATATTGAAGTGATTTGAAACCTTATTAGAATGAAGTGGCAGTATTTGAGATTACTGTCGGTTCAAATTCAAGAAATGTTTTCAACACCTGCAATTTATTAGAAAGGGAACATAGCCTTTTTTCATGCATCCAGGAATATATTAATATAAATTTTATATAACAGCAAAAGTTCCGGATTTAATCACAATTCAACATTATTACTGAATCATTTTGAGTATGCAAAGACTCAAAACCCTGTTTTGATAATGCTCGCAAATATCTCTAGACATCGTTGATGTGTGTATTATTTCAATGATATATTAAAAAAATAGAAGTATTTGAACATAAAGAACTCACCCGTTTCATTAGTTACTTTCCTCATATGACTAGTGACATTGACCATTTTCTGGATACTTTGAGCGTTACTAACTTTGCCAGCATAGCCCGAAAAACTTTCATATGGAGGACATTCTTTGTTATCCTCTAGAGGAAATGACCACTCGAAATCATCTGATAAACCCAAATTCGAAACTGCTTTCTTTTCTCTATCTAGTGGACTTTCGAAATTATGGTCAATATTCTCCGACTTCGACCTTGCTCTTGGTTGCTTTGGTGCTCTAAGAAATGTCTTACCACTGGCCGATACAGAAGCTTTTTGAGCAATTGGAGATGGAGATCTTGATTTGGATCTATTGCTAGGTACTACAAGAACTTTGTTAGTCCAGTACTGAGTAGTATTGAAGCTGGAAGACTCTAAAATAACATCGACTTTTTCTCCGGGTGTTGGCGACCTGGATATATTTTTGTCTAGATGAACTTCACCTGTGTTCAACAAATCGTTACAGAAGCTGTTTCTGGGTACTTGTGGCAGATCTACTGGAGGAAGTGGAGAAAGGGAACGTTCACGTTGACAATTTAGAACAATAGCAGTGTTTTCCGTTAATATGAACTGTTTTGGCAAAGGTATTATGGAAGTTTCTGAATTTTCTTCTTCTTGAAGTACGTATCTAGGTTTATCGGGTGATTCGATAGAATTTTTCACTTCTTTAATCGAATACTCTTGAATTGACGTGTGTGCCGGAGACCTAACAAAAGGCGACATATCATCAGAAACCACGAAATGTCTAGATGACGGTGAAGATCGTTCGGAATCTATTTCTTTTTCTGTAATCAAAAACTTTCTGGGACTTGGAGACCTACATTTCTGCTTAGACTTTTTGTATTCCATCTCGACGTCTTCATGGCTGTTGAGACGAGTTGAGTTCGATGCTGTCTTGATGAATTCATTGAGCGTTGTCTGAGAGTTAGGGACAGTATTACTCCCTGATCCTTTGAGTTCTTTCACATACCTGTCACTAATGGTTGAGAGGTCTCCTCGAACTGGAGATGAGGTTATATTCCGTCTTACGTTAGCACATAATGCGATAAGTTCACACGCGCCCATACAAGCAACGAGAATCGAGAGAATTAAACCCATTAGACACTGATCACGTTTCCACAAAAAATCTATTTTCACTATTTATTACAGACTTGGCGCCAAATTCAAAATAATGTTTAAATGCAAGTGCATCTTTTCTACCGCACTGGGAAAAGATATCTGTTGCCAATAATCGACCGGACTCTATGAATATGTCGTTCAATAATTAAAACACGGCAAAAATTAAGTTTTCACAAGGCTTGTGTACGGTCCAAGTACAACAAGAATATATCGGTAACTGATTTTTGTTTGCTTTTAATTAGCATTGATTAGCTGACACGGAAAAAATAACTGTCCTTGATATCTGCGAGTGCGGGACAGAATTTGGCAGTTGTCTTGATTGTCTGAAATTCCGAACATAGATTTTTCTCTATTGTTGCTCATTTCAACTGTGTGTTCGAAAATAAAATAAAATAATAAAATGGCCCTGTAGGGTACTCAAATAAGAGAGGAAGCATTGTGATGATTTTTATGTCTTTCCAAACATTCGTTATGGAATTGAATCAGATATTATTCACAGGATTGCTACACAATATATAAACGGAAGAGGTAAATTTTCACTTTCATGGAACACTCATCCTCACTGGTGGACATCCGATGTTTCAGCATTAGACAATTGCATTATCGCCTCTTCAGCATCAAATCTGAATATATCCAGATATATCCATATTTGATGCTGTAGCAATCTTGTTGATGATATTTAATTCAATTCCATACTGAATGTTCGGAATACAAATGGATTCAAAGATTCTCACGGACTGAGTATGATGGGTTGTTTTTCCGGGTTTCATTCCGTGTTCTGTATTTCTGATCTTCACAAGGATCATTTTCACAACGATTCGGCAAAGTCTCATTTGCCATCTTTTTGTGATGTCTGAAGTTTGGACCTAGTTTAGGTGCACTTGGAGCTGAACAAAGGAAGAACAAAACCAGTGAAGAGACTTGGGAGTCAGGAAGATTACGACCCCGCCGTCGAGTCATGAAAGTTCACTTTCAAGTGGTTTTTGAAAATGGCTTCAAAGCAGAAGCCGAAACTTCGAAAAGATTAAAATTTCAGCCAAACTGTAAATTTGTGGCATCGTGTGAAGACTTTGTGATTACAAGGACAACTCCCAACACAACCACGGGTGCAGCTGAAGCTGACATCCGAGTCCAGGATAAAACAAAACTGAAAGATGAGCAACCCGCCGGCACGATGACATACATTTTTTGCTGACTCCACATTTATAACCTCTCGTGAGTATCAATTGCAGTGGTTATAATTGTTATCATTTATACACCTTATTGTATAAAATCCTTTATTTAGCAATGAAACTGCTAATACAATACATCTATAATCAAATACGACACCACAATGTGTTAGTCAACTAAACTAATAAATATTCAAAAACACCGTCTGCTTATTGAACACATAGTTGAACCCTTCTCTTGACAATACGTGTTGCTTTCAACACAATTCGGCCATCAATTCTATTAATTATAATTTCAATATAATTTTTCAGTTCATCTACATTATTATGTTTTATCCTGTACACCTCATTTTTTAGAAATCCCCAAAAATAAAAATCTAGAGTTGTCATGTCTGCGGGACGAAGGGGCCACTCAACAGGACCATTTGTAGCAGTCCATCTGTTTCCAAAACAGTCTCGCAACATTTTTTTCACACCACTGAAATTATGTGCTGGTGCTCCATCCTTCTGAGAATATATTATCTGACGAACCTCCAGATCAATATCATCGAAAAACTCTTCCAACACTCTTGTTAATAAATTAATGTCAAGAGGTCCGTTAAACAACCATGGTAGGAAAATGGGCCGATAATTCTACCTCTAAATAGATCACACCAAAAATTAATACAAACGGTCTTTGTGGATTGTGGGGATGGACTAGAAATGGATTATGTCTACTCCAATTATGAAAATTACTTCTATTATACATGACACAAATGAAGCTGCAGTATATTAACGTATATATATGATCATTATTCTTTCGGACAATTGGTCCCTAAGAAAATGCAGCCCTAAGCTATAGTTTTAATACCTTATATGAGTAAGTTCCAAACTGACGTTGAGAACAGAATAAAAATGGTGTTGAACTCAAGTTCCAAGAAGCAAGAACTCAAATAAATTTCAGTTGCTAGGGGATATTTTTACTGTGTGATTCCATAAACAGCAGAAAATTGTCCTTCAGTTGAAATTTTAAAGTTGATTCTTACAATAAAATCGCTTTCAAGAGCAACGCGGAGTATTTGAATGACTTGAATGTCATCCTAATAAAAAAGTAAAGAAGGTATCAAAAGGGTCAAAAGAACGTGGTATCCAGTACTCAAGAAGGCCAGAAATTCGATCGAGATCCCACCAGCAGCGTACCTGTTAACAACGTTGACCAATCAGGCTCGCCCTCTATCAGCCATACCGCCTTCTGAAATTATAGGTTTGTTCTGGTACTACGAAATTCCGGTTCTAGGACGTCAGGATCATGTGCAGTTGATATAGAGCGTTCTGGTTTATTGCGGATAATTTCGGACTGATGAATCCTCTGTTCTGGTTTCGACTGCGAAATCCTTCCTAGAAAGCTAACATTTCTTGAGATAGTTTTTATTACCTCTTGTACGTGTTCTTTGAATGTTAAGCCTCTATCAATTAAGACTCCAAGATGTTTCGTCGCACTAACGGTTTCTATTTCTATATTATCAATATGGATATTCAAATGTCTGGTTTCAAGTTCATGATATCCCGTTTTATTAGTAGATAACATGAATTTTGCTTTATTACCATTTAATTTCAATACATTATAACTACACCACCGACTTATTTTTTGTAGTCCACTATTCATTGTATCTATCAAATGTTCCACATCATGTGCACAGTAATATACAAGTGTGTCATCAGCAAAGAGATGAATTTTACACTTGTCTACCTCATTAACAATATCATTTATATATATTAGGAATAAGAGTGTTCTTAGTGTACTGCTCTGAGGTACTCCGTTGTTATTGACAATTTCACAGGACGTTACATGATTAAGTTTTGTTAGTTGTCTTCTACTATTTAGGTAATCTTCAAACCATTTATAGACTGTACCGGATATTCCATAATTTCTCAATTTCAGCAGGAGTCTTTTCCTATTTACTGTCTCAAAGGCTCTTTTCAAATCTAAGTAAACTGCTCCTACATTCATATTTTGATCTGTCCACATTTTCTAGTCAAATAAAACACTTTGGACCGCTGTTTCGCAATTATGCCCAGTTTTAAAACCTGATTGATTTTCAGTTAGAATATTATTACTATTTAAAAAATTTAACATTTGTACATAGACAACTTTCTCAATTAGTTTTTCTATTGCCAACAAAGTATTTATTGGTCGCATATCACTGGCTTTACTTGTATTCTTTACTTTTGGAACTGGAATTATTGTTGATACTTTCAGCATAGATGGAAATGTACCTGTGTGTAGGGAATAGTTGACAAGGTTTAATAACGGGCCTTTTATATTATGATATACTTTTTTAGGAATTCCGTTGTTAGATCATCATCGTTACCTTTATTTTTCATTGTCAACAATATATCATGTAGCTTCTCAAAACTAATCAATTTGAAATCACTCAAATGTTCTTTTGCAGTGTTTTGTATCCTTATTTCATCTTGTGTCTCAATATGTATTTCTTCTACTAATTTATTGATACTTTCTACAAAATTGAGTTCATCAGGAATCATATTAATATCTACTTCCTCCTCATTGTCAATCTCTAACTTGGTTAATTTTGTTCTTTCTTTTGGTAACAGCAAAGGTTTCAGTGTTTTCCACATTTTTTTGGGGTCACCACTACAATTACCTATTTTGTCCTTGTAAAATATTGATTTTTGTTCTCTAATAACTTTCACCACATTATTTCTGGCCTCTTTGTAGTTTTCTTTGTCTTCAATCTATTTTGATTTCTTATATAGTTTGTATTTTTTATCCCTATATACTACTGCATTTCTAACTGTATCATACCACCATTCTTTATATTCCGGTTTAATTATTTTTTCCTGTTGTACCATAGAGTTCCTGAGAAAGAGCCGTCTGCTTATTACGTATTTTCAAACATGGACTTTTTTTAATCGTCCAAACCCAAAATGTAAAAATACTTTAAATTTCTTTGGTATCTAATATTCAGACATTTCACCACCATCATCAAAAATTAGACTTTTCCATTATTGAAAAATAGAAAGATCCGGGAACATGTACTCATAGAGATTGCTAAATAATTCCCCTACATTTTCTGTTATCAACTTGATTCTCTTCTTCTATTCTGTAATGTACCAACACTCTCCAAGAAAAAATGGTTTCGTAACATATTGTGAATGAAATATTTCAGAATTATATTTTCAAAAGTAGATCATTGTTCGAATAAATTATTACTAAAGCGATTTTGCTGAAAGCCAATCGACTTTTACATCTAGGATTGTAATTTGAAAGACAAATATTTAAGATATTCCCAACCAGTTCAAATTGAGAATATGTGATTTCCAGACGACGAAGCTCCCGTTATAAGAAATGAAGGAGTTTCATTTTCCTGCAAAATTTCATCATTTACTGTATTCGATTTTTCCTCGATAAACTCTGCCATGTACATATGGTTCATCGAAACGAGTAGCAACAATCAAGAATTCAATAATTTCAACGCTCTATTGAGCTTTTGTCTTGTAACGTTTTATTTTATTGCGTGACCACGGTCTAGGGAAACCTTGACGGTAATATAGACATTCACTGATATGATCAAAAAAACGAAGTAGATCTCTATCAATATATGTACGCTCAATCCAGTGAAGGTTTTTTCCACTGATAAGATATCTTTTAGTTTCCATCGGTCCTCAAAAGATGACTTACCACTTCAGTTATTTAAATTTATAAAATGAATCCTCATCCTATCAACTGAAATTATTTTTCTATCATCGAACAGTAATATACCAAGGTGATGTGATATCTGTTTGNTGATTTATAAAATTATGTTTTCTGTGTTTGAGATAATTCTAAATACCATAATAACAAAACCCTGTGGCACCCATTTCAATATCAATAATTGAAAGTTCCCTGCTATTTCACTACCCATAATCTTCCAGATTAATAGCATCGTACAAGTGAAGTCCTTTACAGAAAAACGGCTATATCCAATTCTTTAACTTCATAATGAGTCTCTAAATTCAAAACTCTGATTCCATTCAATATCC